ACTGTACATTATAATCTAGAAAATCTTCCATCAAAATATTGAACACTAGCTTCCTAGTTGATGATTCATATTCTTAATATTATGTTATACTTAAAGGAAATTTAAAGTGCAACTATGCAAATTTTCCAGAAGCTTTAGTCAATCGCATATATAAAGCCGGCTACCAAAAAAAATTTTTATTTTTTTCAAGGAAATTGGAAATGCAGTATTGTAACTAAAAATAAGATGGATTTCCTAAAGTTTTTATTAATCGCAAATATACACTTATAAATTCCATAGCAGCCAGCGAAACTTCCCACCAATTACCGAAAATATCACTTGTTAAGCATTTCGCAATTTCAAATGATTCAATGACAACCGCAAAGTTTTCGCTCTTTTCCTTACAATTCTTTCATTACATTGTTTCTTTTCTCCACTTCTTCAATGATTTTGAGCAACTATTGATGATTCTTCTTTTCATTCGCTTCCTCTGATTGGTGTGCGCTCTATTTCCCATTTTCTGGGAATTTTATTTAAATTGGATTCACTTTTTTTGTTGGTTTTATTGTACATTAAGTTGCTCTTGCCAGTCATTTCTTCTGCCCGGCTGCTTATTATTATTATCGATTTCAATTCTGCTGTTCAGCAATTTTTCATGGCAAATTGCGAAGAAGCAAAGGCAGCGGCGAAAAAATAGATAATGGAATTAAAAATAATTGGATGACATTGAATATGTGGGTAAGCGAGCCGAATTAGGACGGCGGCAAAAGTTCAACATTTAATTTAATACTTTAAAATTTAATTATTAAAGTATTTCCGAAGCGGCCCGAGGCGGTCCGGAAATTCAAGCGTCAACTACAAAATTGGTATAAACAACAGCGAAGCCCCGAAGTTGTCAAAGTGGCTGGCTTTGTTCTCCACACTCCCTTTCTTTTTCCAAGCGGAAGAGTTGCCATTTTCATTTTCTTTTGCGGGGCGCCATTTTCTGTGCCATTCTTTTCGACCATAATTTGCATGGCATGGGAACTTGACTTTTGTTGGCCCGCCCCGAAAGAAAGGCGGCGCGGAAAATATGTTGCAGCGGCGGCGGCGGCGGCGGCTGTGTTGGGAATATAATAGAAAAATAAGGTGCCACACAATATGGCCGAGAGCTTTACAGTTGGTTAAGTAGCAAAAGGCGGCGAAAGGCGAAGGATAAAGTGGCACCAGCCAAGCGGCAGCCCAGAAAAACGCTTGCTGAGGCTGAGGATCCGGATGTGGAGAAAGGAGTTTTTCCAGCGAGGCCATCGCACAGCGCCAGAGCATGGCGTGAAAATTGTGTTGACAAGAAAATTATAAACCGGAAAATGTTTTATGTTGTGGCGGCTATGCGATTTTTTCCCATTCTTATTCCCTCTCACTCTCACTTTTTACACTGCCCCTTTTTTTCCTTGCCATTCTTTTGCTCTGGGTCGCTTCCCGAGTGGCTTTTAAAGTTTCAGCTGGCTGGCTCATTGTGGTCAAATTAAATTGAGGGGAAATTACCAATGAAACGATGCCAATTTGCTGAAAGGGTCAGAGGTCACTCAGCGAAAACGAAACGCTTGGCTGCGCTAAAAGGCATTTGAGTAGAATTCGGTTTAGAGAATTTTGAAAACATTTAAAAGTGATTTGAAATTCACTTTTAAAAACTATGAAAAGATAAGCAATTGTATTGTGTATTGCATAATAGATAAACAGGGAATAAACTTTATAGCTTGACATTGGCCTTCATTTTACATAATTTTGCTTTGGAATTATCTTTGAAAACAAAGAAAATTTAAGAAATTTTATTGCGTATTCATAATGGAATAAGCTCCATAGCTTGATATTGACTTCAATCTTGCATAATAAAATAAATAAATATTTAATAATGAGTTGAGTTAAAAAGCTATACAGAAAATAATTAGATTTAGATCTAAAATATTCATAATGGATAATTACGGACACAACTTCACAGCTTGACATTGACCTTAATTTCACTTCTAATTCCGCTTTAACTATTTCTTTAGTAGGGAAATGGCATTTAAAAGCCTACAACGCGGCAACCTGGCAATAAATTAGTGTCGCGGCCACCGAGAAAAAGTTTAAACACACCCCAGGTACAGCCCAGTACACGTGTTCAACATCATAGGCATACAATCACGGGAGTCGTACATAGGCCTTTCGTCCTCGAACTGGCGGCCATTACATATACAAACGTATATATATGTTATGTGCTGGTTACTTGCCGCGTTTAAGTTCGTTAAACATTTAAGCCCAGTTCGTTTTGTGTGTCAAGCACACACACACACACGTATATAAGAATATATAAAGTGAGTATAAAAAGTCGTTGGGGACAAAAAGAGGTGAAAATGAGTGCAAACACACTCGCCTACAATTACAGCCACTCAAAAGGGGCGAAGAACAACAGGCCATGGAAAGTGGGAAATGGAAAAATGCGAGGGAGGCTGAGGTAGCTGGAGAGGAAAAACACGCTCCACGAACGAAATTGCTCGGCAACTTTACTGCATAGTTAATTAATAGGATAACACAATTAATTTGTGGGCAATGAATGTCTGAGCTTTATTTGCCCGCCCAGCCAGGCAAAAACTACAAGTGCCCAAGGGTCACTGGGTGTGTGTGTCCTTTCCATTTCCATTTTCATTTACCCATTTACCCCCCTCAATTTCCATCTTGCAGCTGCTGCCCCACAGATGATGTGGATTCTGCAGTCAGAACTCGCTTATCACGCAGCTGTGGGCTCGAATAATTGCCAAAAGGCTTATGAGATTTCCCTGGCACGGCCAACTGAAACCAACTGAGACATCAGGCGGCTGACCCGCTTCCTAATGATCCATCAAAGATAATTGGAAATGTTTGGGGTTAGCTTAGATTAATGATGAAAGTCAGTTGATGTTGCAGAAGTGCTTTGAATTATGAATATTTAATGAGCATTCATATTTGACACGGTTCGAGATTAAATCATAAGTGAATACTAACAATAGTTGTGGTCGACGTATGTGGTTGCTCGGTAAAGTTAGAGATTACTCTTTTGTAGATATAATAAGTGGTATTTTAAAATTTTTTTTAGGCAACAAGTTTATTTTAAATATGTTCGTAAATTTCTATGTGATAAATTTTTTCTGTGGAACTTTTGATTTTATACAAAATACTTTAATAATTTTATCAAAACTCCCTCTTGATCAATTAAAAAAGTTATAAAATGTTTTAAACCCGAAACTGCTTCTAAGTTGATAATAAACATATTTTGTCTTCATCTTCAGATTTAATACAAAAAAAAATTACTCTAATAATTTTAACAAAATTGCCACAAAACTAATTCGAAGTGTACCATATGCGTAACATTACCACAACAGTTACTCTAATAATTTAAATAATATTACCAATAGATAGTAATGCCAAAAGACATATAAATAAATCGTTCTGGTTTGGATTTTCCCACGAACAAAGACCATTTCAGAGTGTCCCTAATACATTCATTGGGGGCGCAGCAGGCCCAAAAAATAAACAGGGAAATATGGGAGGACTATCCAGTGGCTCAATTAACAATGTCTCCTCACCTCCCAGGCTAAAAAAAAATAAGCGTGGACCCTACGAGCCAACGAGCTACTTACAAACATCAGTTTTAACTATTGTTTGCACACTCGACTCAAGAGCGACAGAATGAAATAATGGAGGGGGAGGGGAAGGAGGGCTATCTAGGGAAAAGGGACCAACTATGGCCAACTTTAAGGACTGACTCAGCTCGCTTTGGGTTTTGTTGAAATAACAAAAGGCCGTTGGCCAAACAAGCTGCCAGCGACGCCTAAAAAGTGGCTACGAAAAATTTCAAAACGTAATTTTTTATGCTGTCACAAATTTGATGGTGATGGTGTTGGTGATGGCGACGCTATGCTCCTGCTGATGATGATGGCATTTTATCAGCATTATATACTATACATAAAATACTCCACTTTATGCGGCCATTCTTTGGCAGTTGTTTGTTTGTTGCGGGTAAAACAAAAAGCTTAATAAAGAAAACACCAACTTAATTTTTTGCTGCCTCTTCTGTTCTTGTGTTCGGCATTGTCCTGTGTGAAAAAAGAGCTGCTTTCACCCTTTTGTTTGCCTCCTGCTAATTTGCCGCATTGCCTTTTTCGAGCGGTAAAAAATTAAGGGAAATTAGAAACCTCTTTGCCTTTGATTTTGTTATCTGCCCCACGGCAGATATTAACGAAGAGTTCAATGGAATCGAATCAAAAAGGGCAGGGGACTATTCTTAAAGCTATATTCTTAACTTAATAATTGTATTATTAAAGCTTTACCTTGAAGTTGTCCATGTCTAAGAGTTGCGTGGCCTAAAAATCACTCGAAAGGTGATAAGCGATTTTAGTTATTCAGTTGATTTTTTCAAGAACATTTTGTACGGTTTATATTTCACACAGAGAAAAAACCATCAACGCTTTCCATTGTTTCATTTCATTTAAACCAATTAATGAGTGATTTTTCTCTATGTCTGTTAGTTTTTATAGGGCTTCGATGGTTGGTGGTGGAACTCTCTTATTTGCAAGCCAAAAGCCAAAGCCTTCTACTCGGGACCCAAGACTCAAGCCTCAAGCACTTTCACGCACACAATTCTCAAGCTCAGCTCGGCGCTTCAGCTGCGCTTATTCTATGTATTTTATTTGGAAGGCACTTAGAGACACAGCCACTAAATATAGTGTGTATTTAAGATATATATATATATATATGCATATATTAAAGCACAGAGATACCAAAAAACGAAAATGGAGTTTATAAAAGCACAAAAGCACAAACAACAAAAGCGAGACAAGATCAGTTTTCGCTGAGGCCCTAAAATTGGGGTTTCGGTAGTTGCTTATCATAATCATATTTTTTTGGTGGGATGAGAAATCATAAGTCTTAAAGCTTACAAACTACGAGTCACACGAAGCAATAGAAGGGGGTAGGAGTTTCGGTTGGAGGAGTTTAGTTCGTTTGTTTGCTTAGGGGATACTGACCTTGATGCTGTCGTAGCAGGCGGTGACCTTGCCGTTCTGGACCTCCACATTGGCCGGGGGATGGGCGAACTTGCACTCGGTGTCCTGGCGCGAACATTTGTTGCGCTGGAACTCGCGACAGACCTCCAATTGCAGCCAGCGCGAATCCTTGCCGTTGAACAGGCTGTTCATATTCACAACGTTGGCCATTGTGTATCGGTATAGGTTCGGTATCGGTGACGGGATTATAGATATATAACTATTTGCTGTTTACGGATCTGGGTTTAGCTGGAGTTTATATATTTTAGCCTAGCGACTAGAGAAAGTTTTTGTTTTTTATTTTTATTTTTACTTTATTTATTCGCTCCTCTCGCGACACGCACACACAAAAAACACTAATTTCAACAGCACAGATCAGCACAGATCAGCACAGATCAGCACCTATATATGTATATAGCATATAGATCTATGGTAGATGGTATGATTTCGGTTGTTTTCTGCTTTTTATCAATTTTGTTCGTTAGCGTTTTTGTGGAGTAAAAAGCTTGGGGGTAGCTGATAGATAGCTTGGGCTATAATTTTGATTCAAATCGAACGAACGCTTATTTAAATATATAGATGTGTGTGTGTGTGTTTATATCTATGGATAAACGCAGCTGTTAATTTTCTGTATTTATTTATTATTTTACTGCTTTTTTTTGTGTGTAAGCTGATTTTACATTATCTGAAATGAGAGTAAAAAAAAGAAATAGAACTTTAGGATCATACCGACTTGGTTTACATTCCAAGAAAGATAAATAGAAATGGCGAAAGACAGAGGCAGATAGTCGTAGAGAGAGAGATAGAGAGGGACAGAGCGATTCTAAGTATAAATGTGTGATGTGGAAACTGATCATGTTTTATATTTGATTGATTTAAGGGGTTAGTAATGCGCAAATCGTTTGTGTTATGGTTTTATGCAGAATGCAATGCTCAAATGATAAGACAAACAAAAGACAATCGACATAAGACATAACCATATCACTATGGAGTATTTAATATATTTGCAATTGCGATATATTCCTAGACTAAATGAGCGAATGGTGTGCAAAATAAAAGTTCTCGTTTCATACAACTTATGATATAGTCACTAAAAATAGTTCACCAGATATACACAAATAAATATCTGGTTGTATAAATAGTTTAGTTTATATAGAGCGTGAGCAGCGGTTGGCGTCCAGTTTGCAGCTTTTTGGAGGGATCGCGATGGAGGGGTTTGCTTTTCCAACAGCCAAAACAGCCAAAACAGCCAAGAGCCACAGCTAAATGCCACAGCCAAATTGCCAAATAGCCAAATAGCCAAATTAAGCCTAGCCCCTAAGGCAAAGTTCAGCGCAATGCACATAGACCAAATAAAAATTAACACTACGAATAAATATTATCAACTAGAGTGCACTAATAGTCGCAGAGACGTAGATATATATAGTCATGGATCTCCAGGTCCGGCCCAGCGGTGTTTAGCAATTTAAATGTATATATTTTTGGTTCGTTTAGCTAAGCAACATTTAAGAGAGAGACACACCGCCTGAGAGAGAGTCGTATTTCAAACGCGTATATACGTATTCATTTTTTAGCCAATTTCTTTTTATAGCAATGAAATAAATTGTTAAACGCACTTACCGGCTCAAGATAAATATTTTAGTTTAGGACTATTTCGGTTAATAAAATACTGTAAAAAAATTAATATATTTATATATGTATGTGGAAAAGAAGTGCAATAGGGAACTTGTAAGATAGAGGAGTAAAATAAAATTTCGTAAATCTGTAAGTGATTCAATCATCGATGACCGCACACAATTTAATATTTATATTCTGTTGTTATTAGCATTTGAGTTTGTGTTTGTTTGCCTTCCCCCTTGCACTGTATTTTGTTTGATTTGTTTTTATCTTTATTTGCCTGCCTGTTGCAATTGTTGCTGTAATCGTGTTTGCGTTGGTGTGTGTGTGTTTTTAATCTTATCTTATCGAAGACAGCGGCATATGAATCAAAGTTTTTTTGGTAAGAAAATCTATTAAAGCTCTTGTTTTTTTTTTTTTTAATTTTCAATGGAAAGTATTTGTAAAGAAAGCTTACTTGTTTTAAAATTTAAATTCTTTGACATTTCGGTATGAAAAGATTTTCTATTTTGCAAATACTATTTTAAACTGAAACTCACCAATTGTTTTTCAATAAAATAATCCAATTTTTAACCGACTTTAATTAGCATTTTTTTTAACACATAATTTCCTATCTAACTTTTGGCATTTCGAAAGATATCGCACCGACACACACCGACAGTAAATTATCTCAGCCAAGTCAATTTGAAAAGATACCAGCGAAGACAATTAATAAACTTTATAGAGTGTACACACACACACCTACAGAATGTATCTATCTTTTTTTTTTGTTAGTATATGGATTTGTGGATACGTCCGCATGATGTCAGCTGCAAATTGCTTTTCCGTATTTTAACTTGATTTCCAAAGATATAAATTGTGACTTAATTTATGAGCTGAGAAATTGAAGCCCCCATCATCTACGTGCTTGTGTGTGTATGTGTGTGTGTGGGCTAATGTTTATGGCATGTATTAAAATAATTCTTGAAAACTTTTTCGTCTAAAACCAAAAAAAAACTCTCTATACACACAGAAAAGCGACCACGGGAAAAAAGAACACGCAATGAAACAGACGGGACGCCCACACAAGCGGACGTGGCTGGGCATCAGGCTATGTGGAATATATAGAAGACATTATAGCCAACAGATACAAATACGAATACAGATACAGATTCAGATACCGAAATTCAAACAGCGCCAGAAATTAGCAGCCGTGTCATTGACGCAGTACGAAAATTTATGGCCAGAAGCGGGTGTGGAAAATGGTGCACGAAAATAAACTTCCCAATAGTGTTTTAGCTGTGAAATTGGGCCAAGAATAATCGAAGGTTCTCCTGCCTGGGCGGATATATACATTTATAAATACTATACTATACATGAATAATACGCAGATTGGTGCATCCGCCGACCTACAGTCAACCTTCAGATGCTGCTTTCAGATCTAAGGACACTCGCATCTGGGCGGTTTTCGGTTATTAAAAAATCATTAAGAGAAAAATACATATAAAGCTGAGCGGACAAAAAAAAACGATGCAAATTGATGTAGACCCAGACCCCAAAGACAAACAAGTTCAACAAGTTTTGGTCCGTAGGTTTTGTTTTTTTTTTTTTTCTGGTTTTTCGGCTCGTATCAAAAAGTGTGTGTTTTGAAGGTTAAACTTGCCGAAAAAAAAGATGAAACACGCTGAGAATCGAAAAAAAAACCAGCAGCCAGCAGGGAGAGAGTGAAGATTGAAAAACTGTTAATTTCCGAAGCTGTTAACGCAAGTCCACTAAATATTTCTTCACATTCGCATTTCATACATTTTGACTTTGACTGCATACTATATTGTTTAATGTTTATGTAAGCTGAGTCAACACCATGCCATCTGTGCTGGTGCAGCATTTTTGGGGCAATCCTAAGTTCATTTGAGGGCTAAATTTGGTTATGGGTGTTCTGTTTCCCATTTTATACTAGTAATATTCTTTTTATGGTCAATCCCCCGGGGAACATCTTCTTTAAAGGGTTGGTATTTTATAAAAAAATTAATGGTTCTATAATGAATTTAACAAGTTTTAGGTTGATATGGAAAAATAATTAAATAAATCAAACTCTTTAGATAATTTATTATTGAGCGGTTTTAACAAAAATGTATTACCCTACTGCTGGAATCACTAATAAGTGGTATTTATTTTATAATTAAAGTGATTAGATAATCACGTTAAATTCTGAACATTAAAGCTAGTTTAAATACGGAATCAGCTGTTTAGTGTTTTTCTGGTTTATTTTGCATAGGTCGTTTGGTATTCTTCTGTCGCCAATCGATTACCTCGTTTATTGATTCATGCCACCCCAACCGTTCCTAAAAACTTATCCAGCCAACCAATCCCCAACACACATGCCCCACATATTACGTAGAGCCCATATATACAGACCAAATCGAGAGCGTTCTGCTGATAAGGCGGCAACTCACACAAATAGCACGCTGCAGTTCACAGTTGGCTGTGAAAGCGTATTGTATATTTTGTATTTGCCATATACTTTTAATACTCTTTTACTTTTAGATAAACGACTCATATTGTGTACGAATATATCAAGTCGAGCGCGCGCCGAGTTACAAAGTTATGACTAAAGCCATACACAAGTCGGTGCTGCGAATACCTCAGAGGTCCAAAAACAAAAGCAAAAGCAGACATTTAGCTCTCACCCTGCGGGCGACAAGTTAATGCATTTAAAGAAACATTTACGCAAGCGAAGCCGTAGCAAAACATCGGTCAGTAACCGCTCTGCAACATTATACAACGCTGCTCTAAATGCCGCAGAAAAAACGAGGGCCCACCCCAAAGGTATGACACATATATTTAACGGTGCGCTCAGAAAAAAAGTGAAAGAAATGGGTTCGACGGCTGCTATCAATAAACGAGATTAGATAAAAAGAGGGTTAAGCCTATGCACTCATACTAAAACATACATTATTTGCAAAAACAAAGGCGGGAAATGATAGTCAGAGCAAAGCTCTTTTCATATTTGTCAAATAACCTAGTCACAAAGGCAACAACTGATTAAGTTAAATTATTCAAAAATTCTACAACTTTTATGTAAATTTCAAATAATGATATTTAGCCAACTGCACCGAGCAGGAAACTTTCCCAAACTACAAAACGAACCATAACAAAAAGCCATCAAAAGATGGTACGACTTAAATGTCAGCCATAAATGGCAAGCGGTTAAACGATCGGTTCGCTTTGGCTTATGTCATTCAGGTGGGTCGAAAAAAAACACGACGGCTCTACTTTATTCTTCCGCCAAAATGTAGCTCTTTAAATGGAGTTTTGACTTGCCTAATTAATTCCCATTGTCATCCATCTGACTTGGCTAATTAATTTGGCAGTACATGACGCGTGGGCAGGAAATGTTTATTATTTCTTTGCTCTTGAAAGTTTCTTAGACTTTTGAAAACGTTTTTTGTGAAATCTCTTTCGAAAGTTGTTGCCCAGATAAAAGAAATACATTCATATACACTAAATATTGCAGTGTCTTCAGGGTGCTGTCCCTTATTTGGTGTGAGTATATAATTTGGCAGAGCTTTCGAATAGGTGCTGAAAAGATCTGCGGATCGATCTATATATGGTCCTATCGATATGACTAATGGGAAAGCGAAAGAAAACAAAGCGTGCCGAAAGCGTAAATAAACGGATTCGATAGAGAAGAGCGATCAGATTTCATAGGGAAACATTGGGATTTTACAGATCTTGAGAATATTCTTTGATTTAGAAATACGAAATTATATTTTAATAAAATATAACAGAGAAAAATATACTTTAGAAATATGTTTTACTTGTTTCTGTCTTGCTAAAAAACTGTACCCAAAATCTTGGGAAACTTTCGTTTTCATTGAAAACCTTGCCCTAGTCCCATCTCCAAGCTTCACCTGATCTCCGTCCTATTCAAAATCAAATTCAAAGCTCATTGTCACGTTTCTCTATTAACCGAATTCATATTCAAATTTTCGTTCACACAAGCAAATCAATTTCTTAGACGTAAAACGCGATCATCAGTAATTACGTCAGAGGTCGGAAAGCTATAACATATATGTGTGTATATATAGCTTTGTACACACAAAATCGAGGCGAAAGAAGAGGCCGAAAAATAAAAGCGAATGGGGGAAATCAAAAACAAAATTCATAAATGAGAGCGACGGAATCGCAGCGCTCTATCGCGCTCATATACTATTTTTTGGCATATTCATAACATTTGGCTTATCTTAAAAATACGAGAGTGCTGCCGCACTAATACCAGTTTAATTTCTCGCGATGAATAAGAGGAAGAAAAGTCCGAGCACAACTAAATGCTCAACAAATTTTCATAGGTTTATGTGCCTAATTAAATTTGCTGGCAAAACTTATTTATGTTTATTTTATTCTCTTGATGTTGATGAATAACCCCAAAATAGCTGCCCCTAAGCGATAGAAAAATATTTAAAAAATTAAAAATTCCTCAAAAATTCATGCAAAGTGAATCGAGTTAATCTTTGAACTAATTTGTGTACTCATAATCACATTGCAGACACGCCTCGACATTCAGTCGCACAGTCACTCTCTCATGCGAAAGGTTAAACAATCAATTCTGCCTTCAATTGATCTTAATTGTGCGTTGGCCCCACAGGGCCAGTCAAGGGTTAAAGATGCCGACGGTTTATTTCAGCATTATGCAAAAGCGTAAAAACTTTGTTTGTCTTCTATTGGCCACAAAAAGGAACTTATTTTTGGACTGCAGCAGCGCCGCTCCAAAAATGCTGCCAAAAAAAAGGGGAGTGGATTTTTCGGGGGGCCTTTGGTTGCACAGCTGCAGATACATCGAAAAGATACATCCAAAATGTGCGGCAGCTGTCGCTTGTTTTGGGATCTGCCTGAGATACTGCCGACGAAACACGTTCAAAATTTCTTTTTCGACGCTTCGTGTGGTTGTTGTATTTTGGCATGTGCCAAGAGAATTATGTTAGGGTGTGCCGATTGCATAATTGAGGAAGCTGCATAAAATGGCCAATGGGGTGTGAACGAAATAATGGGCAATTTGTTTTGGATACTAAAATAATCCGAGAATCTAAAAAGTGTGAGAAAAGTTATGAAAATGTACAAAAAACAAAAGTTTAAAAATCGTTTATTTTATAAAGCCCTTTGCAACTCGGCTCGCTTAGGAATTTCTATCTCCAGCTAGATTGAGTCACCCTATTCCTACGATTCTCCCAACCAGATACAACAACCACATATAGATATTTGTTTTGTGTTTTCTTCTTTCTTTTCGACTTGTTTGCTGCCTCAGTCAACGTAGCAGCTGCTCTGCGCTCATTGAAAAAGCCAAAAACAAAAACGCTGGCGAAGAAAAAGTTTTTGATATTTTTAGAAGGAGAAAAAAGACATGAGCACATGTTTCAAAATATCAAAAAAGATGAAAACTTGAAAAAACGAGAGGAAATAGTTAAACAAAACTGAGGTCTGAAAATCTTTGAAAAGGAAACGAAATGTTTATCTGAATGCAAAATAATCTGGAAAGATACAAAACAGAACCCGGAGAAAAGTGATGTTTTAGGATATAGAAATTTTAATTTTCATTTTCCAGCATGAATGGAAAAGTTTTTGCGCATGAGCAGTTTGCTTTGTAAATCACTTTAAAAATCAGTGATATTGTAGAGTCTAACGTTTACAAACAAAAACCAATTGAACATTTTAATTATCATAGACAAGATTGTGTTTGTCAACAGTTAACATTGTTTTCTATTGTTTTTCAGTTTCTTAAGGTTGTACCTTTTCGTACCTCTCGTTTGAACTCTGACACCTTTTTGAGTGCTGTCATCTCGCATCAAAACTTAAATCGCGAACCGAACAAACAAACAACTACAGCGATTTTTCCACACTTTCGACAACCCAAAGAGGGTGTTCCTATCGATATTTACGACCTATTGAGAAGAGCTTAAAGCACAAAACACTCGTACTGCAAGTCAAACACATATTTCTCCCAGCGACGTTTTTTATTCGTCTTTTTGTACTGCGGCATGACTTTTGGCGAAAAATCGAATCGATTAGTCATGCCAAAAGTCCTCAAGTTTTCATCCCAATCCCAAGCCCCTTCACCAACAAATATAAAACCGTCTTCTGCCTTTCGTGGCGTTTTTAGTTTTGGTTCGAGTTTGATATTTTGAGTGGAGAGGAGTGAAGGTGAAAAAGTGAATGACTTGTCAGAGTTTATTGAACAAATGGACAGAAATAACAATTCATTTTGGCATTTTCCAAACGATTTCTTTGACTCATATTTTAGCAGCAACACATTTTTGACACTTTTGTCGATGATGACGGCCAAACAGAAAAAAAAAGCACGAAATGTGCGGGAACTTTTGCTTTTTGTTTTCTAGTTGCCAGCGGGCAGAGCTAATTTAATTTGCATATCTCGACCGGAGGAAAACGAAACAAATCGGAAAAATTATAATAACAATCTTTTTGCAACAGAAACCGAAGCTCGGACTGAAGTAAACATAAATTTAATGGTTACGACTTGGCAAGAGGAACGGGTGTTGAGTTTGGGAGGAGAACCACATAAAAAACGTGACTTTTCGTAAAAATAAAATCTATGTATTTGCATGTACGAGTACAGTGCGTTTCAAGGCTCGTATTTCAGTTCAGAATCTTTTGGAAACCTTCAAATAAAAACGATTTTAAACAACTAACTCCGGTAATTGATTCAGTTTCGTTTAACAAAATAATCACTTAAAGACTAAGAAAAATGTCTGTTTTCTGTTCGGGTGCCTACACCCATTAAAAAACCTAAGCTTTCAAAACAATTTTGTTAAGCCATTAATTCTTTTATTGACTGTTCGCAGGCATTGTGTTTTATTGTCACGTGTGTTTCTTACAGCTGCTTAATAGTGCCGGGACGCACTGTTAAAAATCGCTTGGCTTAGATCTGTTTATTTTTTTAACGGCCTAGGCCTGGTCCGGCTCTGGAATAAAAATTGCTACATTTGCATTATATTTCAACACGATTTAGAGCTTACTGTTTTTTTAAGTTAATTAACTCCACACACAAAATAAAAAACATGTCAAGTCTTTAACGCTCTGGCACAAATAATGTGAATATGTATTTATAGTATTTTATGCCCAATAATGTGGAATAAGCATTCCGTTTTCACTCTGACAAATTTGGTTCGCAATTTGTTGAATTTTAATTATTATTTCACAGTTCATTAGTCTCAATTTCAATTTGATTTTCGGTCATTAAGCTTTTCACCGAGCCAAATGAACGAAATGTACTTTATTTGAACGGATTAAGTAAGTTTTTTAATTGAAAAGGATGATTTTATTGGATTTAAAAATTAATGTACGCAGAAAATATATTTTTATGAGACCGAGTAGTTTTATATTTTTTTTAACACTTTAAAAATGTATATTTCTTCGGCAAAGACTTGTTTTTGAACACACTTTCTATATTATTTTTTTAATAGCTTTTTTTAATATGAAAGGTGTTGAGTAATAATTTTGTATACTAATTTATTATTTCATAAAAATTTATGTTGAGCGATAAATCACTTTTTTTTTTTATTTTATATGTGAAAAAATGATTTTCAATACCCTTCCTTTTAGTTTTTTTTTAATATACAGTCATAAAACTTTTGTTGTACGCTACTACTACTTTTTTGTGAAATTTTCGGTCCAATACATTTCCCAGAGCCTCGTTTGAAAAACTTTCCCTGTAATAGTTAGTTTTTCCCGTGACATTAAACAGAATTTTCGCTTTTTCACTTAGCACCCGAAAATTCGACAACAAAAACAAACAAGACCACAAAATAAGGAAGAAGTGAAAGACGAGAAAAAAAAACTTTAACTCAAGAAGAAGGCGAAAAAAGAGAGAAAACAAAATAGCCAAAACAGAAAGAGAAGAAAGAAACAACGATTTTTTTTTGTTTTTATGTATAAACACCTTCGGTAGTCCAGCTGACTTGTTGTTGCTGTAGTTGCTCTTGTAGTTGTTGCTGGCAAAGTTGAAGTTGTTGAAATTGTTGTTGGGCTGCTGTATTTTTTTGTATTTGTATTTGTTTATTGTTTTACTTTTGCGCCGATGGAAAATGTATTTTTAACCTTTTTTTTCTTGCTTGTCGATACGCTGGTGTGTGTGTAACTAAACACGCGCGATGTTGCAGTTGTTATTGCTCTTGTTGTTTGCACCACGATGTGACGTCATTAAGATGCCGGCAAAAAACAATGGATTTTGCGATTTTTCCGGACAATTTCCCTGTGGCGCTTGCACTATTTTGCTTGAATTTTCTTTCACGACTTTCGACAACTTCTTTTTTTTCTCCTTTTCTTTTATCTGTCACACACAGAAACACACACAGGGGCACTTGACAACACACACTCACACACACGTGCACTCGCGTTGTTGTTTTTTTTTTTTTTGTATTTTTTTTGACAAATATCTCCACGCCTCTAGAGTTGTTGCCAAATTTGCAGAAAAATTATTTATGCCTTCTCTGCGTTTGCGGTGACTGGACAGAAATTGCAGCGTTTGTTTTTTAGCCAAGAGCTTATTTTCTTCAGTTTTCCATGGAAGGCTCTGCAACGAACGAACGCGAAGCCAAAAAACACAACTTTCCGCTAACACAACCGCTTCCGTCGAAAATTTTTTTGATTTTGAGGCTTAAGTATTTGTGGCAGTGGATATTAGTCGCACTGGCACCCCAATTCGGCGAGAGCGCTCTCTGGGCTCTCTTAGCGCTGGCAGAGTGAATAGCTAAGAGCGCGCGGCGAAACTCGAGTGAAAAGTAGCAGAGAGTGTGCGAGATGTGGAGTGGAATCGCTTACAGTGTGCAAGAAATGGAGTGGAAATGCTAACAGTGTGCAAGAAACAGAGTGGAATTGGTAATAGTGTGCAAGAAATGGAGTCAAAGCTGGAGGACGGTATTTCTAGACAGAAAGAGAGTGCTAAAGGCGCATTTTCCTTACGCTCTCCGCTCTCACTGTTTCTTCTTCAAACTCTCTTGCATTTAAGAGAGAACGTCTTAAACGAGCGTTTCGTTCATTTGAGAATTCCAATTGGAGTGACTCTGAGGGGTTTTCCTTTTCTATGGGCAGAGGGAGAGAGGGGCTGTTAGGGGGTTGTCGAGTTCAATAAAGCCGAGTTGACAATCAACTAAAAGGTTAACTGGCCAAAAGCAGACATATAGACAGACTATAGCTTTTTGGCGTAGGTTGCGGACTGTGAAACCGCCTGGCAACTTAACTCTAGTTTATTTTGCATTTCGGTGACTAAGTTTACTAAAACAACCAGACATAGGTGCTTTCCAACACTTCATCAGGCACAAAAACTCACTTGGTTATAAGCTATATTTTCCAGCCTTATTAAAAACATTGTTAAACATTGTTAATACTTTTTGTTTATACAGCATAGAGCAATAACAAAAATAGATGATAACATTGCATGTCTTATATAATTGCTTTACTATTAATTATTTAAAAGTCTATATTAAATTAGTTGGCTTTTATTTTATTTATTAATTTTTATATTTAATTTTTCACAAAGAGTAAAGATGTCAATACATTAACTAAAAATTAATGATTTCATAACTGATTACTTTGGAATTATTTACATTTTTGTTTTTATAACATTTCAATTTAGAGAAGTCAGCTGGACTGCCTACAAAATAAGTTAATTTCTTTTTAGCGTTTTCATCTATTATTTTAATAGTCACAGCTAAAATTGTTTTTACATAATTATTTATTTTATTTTGGTTTCTTTATATTTCTATTACTTATCTATATTTCGTAAATGACAAACTCACTCAGATGTGATAAAAAAAAGCCAAAAAGTTCAAACAAAAAATAAAGTTTTAAATACATGCAAATTAATTGCATCAATTTGTTCTTTTTAATTGACTGGCACATGTTAATTTTAAAATTGTATTCTTTGTTACCTTAAAACTAAGTGTTTTATTAATTAAACAAGTTTGTATTGTTCTTAACGATTTTGTTTTGCCCATTATTTCCTCATATTATATTTATATTCTTATCTTTATTTTCCATAACCCACAGACATATTTAGTTTTCAAAAATAAAATGTTTTAGCTTTATTGAAAACGTATTTCTGTTGATTTATGGTTTCACCATGGTTTTAATGTGCATCGATCAACACCTATGTACTTTATACCCATCTTGGTTTTTGTATTTTGACAATAAATTTCACATTCTCTCATAAAACGCAATCTTGTGGCAGCCGTTTTCATTTCCATTTGTGCCTGAGGACAGACAGAAATAAGTGAACTTAGTGAATTGGAACTTTGCTCGCTCTGTCAAAGTCACCTTCAAAATGCGTTCGATATGTTCTAAATCATTTACGCAAATGCATCCCATCCATAACGGAATGGTGTGGTGTGGTATGGTATAGTATGGTATAGTATGGCCATATATCCGAATGCAGCCCAATGGGGCCAGAAATAGAAAATAGAAAATTGTAATGCACACACTAACACAAGCAGAAGCAGAAGCATAAGCAGAAGCAGAACTCTTGACATTTCTATGTCATAAATTTGTTTCGTTCTTTGGATTTTTTGGCAGCGAAAGAATTGGTTGGCACACCCCCCACATGGCAATTAAAATATGGGAATTAAAGGCGTAGACTTTTTAGTACTGTGTAGGTTAAGCGGACATAAAAAGTGAATGTAAGCGATTGCAAGAACGGGAAATGAAGTCGAAGGAGAACCGGGCATGTGAAAGCCATATACTAATAAAAGGTAAGGGAAAGAGAGAGCAACCCGATCAGATCGAGAAACGCCCCCGCAATGATTTCAGCTCCACTATGCCATACTATACTATAATGGATTTATTATTAGAAGTCCCTCGGTGTTTGTGTGAGCGCACTATTTTTAAACGATTTCAAATTGGAGTTTTCGTGAGTGACCCGCTGGAGCAACAAAAACAAAACGATCGCTAATGGAGCTCGGGGGCAAGTGAAAGGTTTTTTCGGTCTGCAAATTATGCATAATGAATTACAGCCTTACAATGGCCAAATTGAGGAGTGGTGGACATGGATAAAACAAATAATGAGATATGTTTGCTAATAATGGAGATAGACAAGATTTGTGGCCATACAAATTGGAATGTGCCAAAACACGGACAAAATATGTAGTATCATGAAGTCAAATACCATTAATGACTGGCATATAACTGTTAAACATACATAAACATACTTGCATACGCTTTCATAGCATTTTTTTATGGACTTCAACATCTTAACCAACCCTTCCTTATAGCTAGAGTAAGTTATTAAATATTGGTTCGGCAAATCATAATCAAAACGAAAAATGTACAATTCCATCACCATAGATCTGCGTATTTATAGAAGATGTTATCGGCAAGTGACATCTCTTTCTCGGTACCCAAAACGCCCACCGCAGCATCTTGAAAACATCATTAACAACACATTTATCGGCTCTGCTCTCTCCGCTGCAGCAGCCTCTAAAATGTGGGCAGCTTGCGGCTGCTGTGGACTCACATACAGATACGGATACAACTACGACTGCGAGTGCGAGTGCGACTACAAATTCAGATTCAGATACAAAGGCAAAGGCGACCCGAAAGATACTATGCTCGTAGTGGTGGAGCGAAACCGGTTCCGGGCAAAATCAAAAGTTGCGCAGACGTCGCCGACTCAGCTGCTCCGCTGACCAAGCCAAAGTTTTGGGACTCGGGGATCGGAGATCGGGATTGGGTTTGGGTTTGGAATTGGAATTGGAAGCTGCGCGGGCAGAGCGGACTTGAAGTACTAAAATACACAAAAGCAAAGTTTTCGAGATCGCTGCACGGAAAGAAACTTTAAGGGATTTTTACCAATGCACAGAAATAGTAGTTTAGTTAATGAGTATTATATATTTCGGACTGCCTACCCAAAAAATTACTATATAGTCACACATAACATTAATTAACAGTATTTTTTGAAAAAACAGAGTCCTTCTAAACAGTTAATTGATTAACAAAGAGCTTTCTTGGCTTACCGAGTTGCCCTCTTGAGCGATTTTTGTTTATGATGCCATACAAATATATAAAATATAATATAATAATAATATATAATAAATATTAAAATATATAATATTATGTACAATTCAAATATAAAATGAAGACATAATTCTTAATGATATTCCAAACTAAATACTTTCAAAGATCTTTGTCAATTTGTAAACTGTATTTTAAACCTTTTTTTTTTTAAGTCAAATTTTTTGCCGCAGTGTGGATGCTGTGAGGTCACTTGGTACTGGCCGCCTGTTTCTCTAAGTGCTCCGCTCAGTGTGTGAAGTAGTGTAGGTAAATCAGTTTGGGGAGCCGGCGTTCGAAACGGGTTTACTTCTCGTTTGTGCTACACCTTTTGCGCCTGTTCCTTGTTCCGATCCGATTCAATACGATCCCCATTCGAGAACGTGTTCCAAGGCTTTTTCCACCGGGGTGTGTACTCGTAGTGCAACCAGTAGGCAGTAACCAGTAGCCAGTAGCAGAGTGAAAACCGAAAACCGAAAACCAAAAAAGGGAGCGGAAAAGGAGGTCGGCACTGCCAAATGAAAAGATTGCGGCCAAACAAAAGGCCTTTTTTGAGGATCTAAGAATCTGAATCATAAGGAGCAGGGATTGGCCTAAAATCGAAACTGAAGAAAGAGATAGCAAGAGTGCTTGCACACCAAGTCCCACCCTAATCTAATTAGAAATAACGGGAAGAACAAGACGATCATTTCTGCGCACGCGATTGAAACGAAACGCTAGAGACCGGCTAATGCATATAAATTGGCATAAATAAAGCAAAAGTCACGTCCAAAAACCAAAAGCCAAACCAGTTTCGAAAATAGAGTAATACAGAGAATAAATTCCAGATCAGATCATCGGCAATGACGTAGTTTTGCCGACTTCTTATTTCTCCCATTATTGCAACCTGAGTCAGCCTCTCACTTTGCCATATATCACATATCGCATCTCTTAAGCAACTCCCGAAGAGCGGGATCGAGCAAATATACATATGTGCGTGGGTGCCGCTGAAAGTGACTCACTTGGAATTCCCTCTTTTCCCCACACGGGGAGTTACCGAGTTTTTTTTGTTGTATTTATTGGTATCGGGGTTGCTCTTGAGTGACACCGAGTGTTCGAGATTGAGTGGATCTATCTGAATACATTTTATTTTGGTTGAGCGCCAGATTGTCTCGAAAAAAGTGTTCCCACTTTAACGTTGGATGCTGCAATGGAAATTCTGGGTGTTGTTGGCAGCTACCAACAATTCATTTAGTTTCGAAATATTAATGAAAGATTTTTAGATATACAGTTTATAAGCGTAAACTTAAAAAATTTATATTATTGAAAAACTTTAAAAATTTTGTAAAAGACCTTTTAATTTCTTTGCGTTTTAATTTATTGAGTACTTAGGATTTTTTTTGTTTTAACCTCAGAAGACCTTGTCTAAGCGAAACAAACCAATACAAATTAAAAATCACTTCAATATCTTTTTTATTATTGGTATTCTTTATTTTTAATTTGAAATTCAAGAATTTACTACCTTTTTTTTACTTATTCTGTTTATTTATGTTCTTTATGTTGAAATGGATACTATAATTTTTGTTTACATTAATATATTTTTATGGTATTACTTTCGTGTAATTTTTTTCTCAAGCTCAATTACAAGAATACCTAAATATTTTTAAAACATAAAGAAAGATATATAAATATAACCCTTTTAGAGCGTGCCTAATAAAAAAACATATAAAATTAATTATTGCCTTCCAAGAAAACATATTAACTTTGATATATATATGCAAAAATATTCTTACCCCTTTCATTTTTTTTTATTTTTATATTTAACATTTATTTATTAAAGAAATTTAAGATAATAGCAAAAGAGTCGAGCTGCAAGTTGTTTGCTATTATCTTTAATTTCCCCTCTGTCCTTACACTTTCCATTCAACTTCGTTCCTATCGCTGCCTGCATTCGAATTCAAATTAAGCAAATTACCGAAAATTTCGTTTGTTTGGCCCAACCCCCATTTTCCTCGCCCCAAATCGTGTTCTTCTTCTTCGCTTAATTACTTACAACTAACTGCAGGGTGAAAAGTTTGCACAATCCGCCCCCTTTTTGCCCGTCCGCGCTACTTGCATTGCAATTGAAACCAAAGTTACAATCGCATATCAAGCCCTAAGACAAAAGGCAAACATGCTTGGGTGGATTTCCCCGAAAGGCGGCGGTGGGTGGCCTTTGGGGGGCGTGGCAGCCAGACTGCATAGTCGAAGAAATTACGCTGATTGAACACTAATTTATTTGTTTGTTTGTTTTAACATTTTCGGAGGGGGTTGGGGCGAAAAGCGCGAGTGGAAAAGTGGATAAAAAGTTTTCCCTTGGCAAGGTGCAAAATGCTTGCATGTGTGTGTTTGTGTGTGTGTGTGTGCGAGGGGGTGGGGTGGGGTGGGAAAATGGGTGTATTTTTCGGGTGGTGGCCTTAGCTTAGCCTCTTGTGTCTGCCGATGTTAGCATCTTTTGGCTTTTTGTTGCAATTTGTAAGTGAGGTTCTTTGTCTTCCACTGCCGCTTTTTCGCTTAATTGGCTGTAATTGAAATCGGTCGAGAAGGAGGCACCAAGGGGTTAAAGGAGGTGGAAAGAGCCAGTGGAATACAATAAGAGTTTGGTATAATCACGAAAATCGATTTCTTATTTATAAGGAGCTAGTAACTTTTAAAGATTTGATATATATTTTAAAATAACTATACCACTTAGTCCAGGTACTTAAAAAAAATTTTTTGTTCAATTGGCCAAATATTACTTTATAGTAAAAAAATATGTGTTTATTGAACAGTATCCTTAAAACTTAAAACAAACTTTTAAAAAATTCATGCTTTAAATTTCGAAAACATTTGCTACGTTTTTTAACACAGCATATTATACAAATTAAAGTGACGTGTTTGAAATTCTAATATTTATCTAATAGTCTGATCTGTTTGTAATAGAAGTATATGCCTTAAGTTTTAAGGTCTTACCATTTTTGTTTCCTACCAATTAGACTGAGGTATTTGGAATTTCCTAGCTTAATCAACATAAAGCCACATGCTATTTTCAAATCGAGTTCGATTTCGCTGCTCACTCACACTGGCACATATCGAGGCATTCTTTTTGTTTGCGGTCAAGCCTTGTTTTCCCCGAAAATTCTGATATATTCACGTTTTGGCTTTTTGGCCACAGTTTTGACCGTGTGTGTGTGCTCTAGCTTTGTTTTTTGTTTTCTTTCCAGTTTCAGTTTTCCCTGTTGCCAGTCTGATGTGGCGACCTTTTAGCGAACGTTTTCGCCATTTGCAGTTTTTCGCCTGTGGCAGCTAGAATGTCGCTTTTCCCCTTTTCCCCGTTTTCCAGTTTCCCATTTTTTTTGGGGCAGGGAAAATACATGTGTGTGTGTGTGTGTGGCTTCCTGCGATCTCTGTTTGTGTTTTCCGAGTACTTGGTTATGGTAATCGAATTTCAAATTATTGCCATGAGCTATATCCGAAAAGGGGGTGGGGAAGGGTAAGCGGGGAGGAAGCGGGGAAAAACCCCAGAATATGTCGCTCGCTTTTTTTTTTGATTCCTTCCTTTTTGATTTTCCTATGCCAAAAGTTGTTTTTATCGCTTTTCCCTTTGTTGTTCTTGTTGTTGCGCAAGATGAATCCGTTCGTTTTTCCAGTTTTTCTTCAATGTTTTTTTTTTTTTTTGTGTTTATGTTTTGGCTAGTTGCTGTTGATGTTTTGCACCCCGCCTGCCTTTCTGTCTGTGTGGGTGTGTGTTTTCTGAGGTTTTTCCTGTTTTTCCGTCCTCGTTCTGCTGTTATTGTTGTTTACATCCTGTTTTTGGCGCGCTTTGAATATTTTGCGGTGCATGTTTTGTCATGCAATAATTTAATTGTCGGATTTGGCAGCTTAAAAGCAGCCAGCCGCCCCCGATATTTGCCCCCACCACACAAATGTGGGGGCGTGGCAGGTGTGGGACGATTGTTTGTTTGTTTGTTTGCTTGTCCATCCGTCTGACACTTTGTCCTTTATTTATGTTTGGATTTGGCTTGCTGATGTTGTTTGGGCTTTTGTGTTTTGTTTTCTTTTGACAAATTGCTTAAATTTGTTTGCTCAAGAGTGTTTTTTGTGTTGCGTTGAATTTACATAAATCATTTTAGTTACTTTAGTATGAAGGTGAGTTCACTTTAGTATTGCGTAGGTTTTTATGGGTATTGCACTGTGAAATTCGAATAGACTATCAAGTGGTTAATCGTTAAAGGCCCTTAAATAAAAAATGTTTAAAACTATCCTTTAATATAAAATAGTTTATTGCGAATAATTCTATAATTTAGAAAACTATTTTTTTTTTTTTAAACAAAAAATTTTTTTTAAAAACTGTTTGTTTTTATATTTGTTTACCATAGTCTCAATATGTTTGTAGCTTGTACGCGTAGCTCCGTAGCGTTAAGCCTAGTTGGATTTTTTTTAGGCAGTTCATTAAAATTTTTAAGAGCGTTATATTTTTATATTTAACTATAAATCGACTATCAATAACTATTATAAAATTTGGAATTACCAGTGTAGAAATTTAATTTAACCTGATTCTAATGACTTCTTAAATTGAAAGCACTAAAGGACTGTTTCCTTATTATAAATATATATAATCTTCTCCCTATTGTCATTATCTGTGTCAGTTGACAGTGCTAGCACAGTGGCATTATAATTAATAATCAACAGCAGCTTAAAGATTTTAATTAAAATCAACGAGAGACTCCAAAAGTTCAAGTTGCAGCTTCCCATTTGCCGCTCTTTCTTTTCCTTTTCTTATCTTTGCTTATATTGTTAACTGGGGGAAATTGTGACCCCCTTACCGGGTAGGCCACCCCGCAACCACTTGGGTAGCCACCCCCCTCACTACCCGATCGACCTGCGTTGATTTCTTTTAATTTAGCCGCAATGACCTGCATCGAAATGCTTTTGTGTGCATGTGTTGGCTTTCCTGGATGTCCTGCATCTTGAATCCTCTACACAGGATGTAGTATACTCCGCCCCAACTTCAGCTCCAATTTTAGCTGCAATTCGTTTCCTTGGCAACTTAGCCAAGTTTCAGTTTCAGTTGCAATTACTTGGCGCACCTGAAGTGGACAACAAAAGCAACAACCACAGCAGAAGCGATGGTATAGAGGGGTCAAAGGTTAGTTTGTTTGTTTGTATTTGCTGCTGTTGTTGCGGTGACGTTGCTGATTCCATCCGTTTTTTTCCCATTTTTCTTACCAGGATTCACCATTTTCTGCAGTATTTTTTTTTTGCTATCGCTTTTCTGTTGACTTTGCGCTTTCTATTTACGCTCCGCTGTTGTTTGTTGAATTCCAACTGCAATTATGTGAATTTTCACCGTGCACAGCATAAAACATTTTGCCCAGCACTCCGGCTTTCAAGCAGTTGGCCTGCAGCCTTCTGTTTGGCAGCTCCGGGGGCAGCAGGTTCAGTTCAGTTCAGCTCAGTTCTGTTCTGTTCTGGCCAAGCTCAAAGTCAAACAACGCCGAGAAAGTAAACTGAGCTTGAAAGTCAATAAGCGGGGAGCAGGGGGCACAGTTCCACCTGAGTTTTCAAGCAGCTCAGCCGGAAAGTGTTGAAAAGCATTTAAAGCTTACTATTTTGTTATATTTTCTCTCCCTTGATTTGGTCAACTGTTTTGAAAAGTTGGGAATGAATTCTAGTATCCCAAAGGCTGACTTTTAAAAGTTGAAAAGTGCTTAGGCCAAATCTAAAATCAATCCATTAAATATACAACATTTTTGTTATTAAAAAAGTTTATCACCAGTTTGTAAATTATTTTTGAAATTAATTAATAAGTAACAATATTGTTAGAGACTAATAAATAAAGAGAGAAAATGCTTTAAATTACTCAAATCAAAAACTAGCAAATAATTTGTTAATCTATTTATAACTAACAAATTTTGTTCAGTTTTCTTGCTTTTTAGAGCAAGCAGGCTTTGAAATTCCTCATTCACTGTCACTTCTTTAATTTCTATTGGATATCTTTGTAGTAAAAATTAAATTTCCTAGACTTTGTTTTTTCTAAAATTCCCAGTTTGTGTAAGGTATAAGTAAATGAATATGCCAAAACGTAAAAACAAAACTCAGGTATGATATCAATGTGTTTTTTAACCTTATACCTCTTTTAATCTTTTTATTTTCACAGATTCTAAAAGAAATGTTGGTTGGAAGTGCTGCTTCTCGAAAGCCGACAGAAAGTAGGGAAATTCCTGGGGTAAAACGACAATCGTCGAAGGTACCAGTGGCGTCCAAAAGGAAAAGACTACCCTGCGCTTTAAAGCCCAGTGTTCTTCGCCGGATTTGCCACTTCCCACCAGAAAAGTGTTTGGCTAATACGGAGGCGATGGTTATGTATGTCAACCCGAACTTCGTCAATTGCGACAGTCAAATCGTTTCCCATGAGGCAGATTGTCCGAAAGTTACGAGTTCCCCCAAGTCCAAGCCAAAAATGCGACAGAGTCCAGCCGCAAAGCAGAGATCCCTAACTAAAAAAAGGACTTAACAGGACTCTTTCCTTTACTTTTCTTGGTTATCATTTATAAAAAGCTGAACATTTTACGAGTCCATGTCCCAGGATTAACGATCAATTCTTAACCTTTGTCGATCTCATCTAAGTCCTGTGAAAAGGCTTGTATTTTGTATACACTTGTAAATAAATGAGTAAATAAAGCTTTCTGGAAAAATGGAAAGCCAGATTTTAATCTTGAAATTTTTAGAATGCATCTTCCCTTCGAAATGGTGAAAGATGTTGTCACATAGCCTTAAGAAGACCCACCGAATTGAGAAACCCTTGCTAGTTATTTGCTCCGCATGTGTTGTCCTTTCCCCATTTTCTTAGTCCTTCAGTGGAGCTTCCCTGGCATTCCGTTGGTGTCACGTAGACTTTTCGTTTGCTTTGAGTTTTCAGTTACACGATTTTTGAAAGGAACGAGGAGGAGAAGCAGCTAAGCAATCACCAAATAAAAAGCCATTGGACAGTTGCTGAGCTCAGTTTCAATTTTCACTTAAAACAAAGTTGGCAAACGAAGGGAAAACGGAGGTGCAGAAGGACAAAAACTGGCTGAACTGCATCTCACATCCAAATCCTCATCCACATCCTCATCTAAAGAATCCGAGGGTCGCTCGGGCGTTAACAAAGCGCGCGAGCCCGCCTGCCAAATTGTTTTTGCTGCCACACAGGGAAAAAAGCAACTAATTCTAAAACTACTTTCACGGTATATATCAAGCTAAAAAAAATTATTCACTTGTTTATGTTAAAATGATAATAGTTTGTTTCTCTAGTTTGAAGAATATGTACGAATCTTTACGAATCTAGCTCTAAACTAAGTTCATTTTAGCTTAAACACATATTTTTGAAAACTATAATCTTGAAAAATAATGTTTTTAATTGGTCTGAAGTTTTTAGTCGCATAAAATTCTCAAATAATCTATAAATCTATACAATTTTAAATTGAAACGCTTGTGATTTGTTGAGTGGCCTGTAGATATTTTATTATTGTTGCTTGTTTTTCGCAGTGAATCTGTTGTTGGGTTTTGTAATCAGAGCAAAGTAGACGCAGACACATGACGGAACTTCCTTCCCCTTCCCCCTTTGGCTTACGTGATTTCAGGCTGCCAAATCACGGATCGGGTTGAGAGAAAATCGTAGAGCGAAGGAAAAAATCACGAGAAAATAGGGAAAAGCGAACAAAAAAAATTATGCTGTTGGGTAGCCAAATATTTCTATGTGCTGCCATGATGAACCAGAAGCGGCAAAGGAAAAACAAAACCATAGCCAGATTTACAGAGCTCAGGGGGGCAAGAAAAAGTTTGTGTGGCTCACGTGACATTTGTTTTGGCAAGTGTCCTTTCCCTCATTGTCGTCAAATCAGCGAACGTACCTGAAATGAAAAATTAAAGGGGGGCTTTTAGTTTTTAGTTTCCTAAGTTTAAGAAAAGGTTTCCAGTTTTAAAGAAACCTTATATTCAACCAAGAAAACTATTATTTAAATACCCATACTAAGTTGTTAAAAATTTGACTTCTTTACACATAAGAAGTAACCAATCCTTCAAAACATCCTATTTTATAAAATAGCTCATTTTATATTACCTGTTGCTGGACACTTTATAAACGTGTTGATTTGATTGACTTTACCATTCCTGGCTTATATATGTTTTAACTAAAATCCGTAACACAACCGTTGCCAATGCATTGTTTTCACTAATTTACTGTTTTGTTTTTGTTTTTATTTTGCATTATTGTTATGATATTATAATTTGTGATTGGTAATATTATAAGAATTTAGGCTACAAAATTTCATAAAAATTATGGCTAAACTAATTTTATTAAATTTTATATATAACTTTTTTTTATAATTGTTCTTATATATAAGACTAATAAAATGTATTTTTAAGCCAACACCCAAAAAAAAGCCGAAAATTTAGCTTTAAAAAGTGAGTCTTGAAAATAAACTACAAAAATTATCAAAGTAAGAGTAATGTTTCATAAATTCAAGCCACTTAAGTTCTATTTTTTCCTTTTCGTATCAAGGATGAGACTTGTCCCTTCCGTATCCGGCATTGTAGGACCACCAACCACCTTCGTATGGAGTTGTGGGCTTGGTCATAGGTGGTTTCTTTGTAGTCCGCGGTTTCTTCGTCGAAGAGTCCAACCATTTTTTTATAACACCGGACTCTTGCTTCTTATCGTATCGCTTACGCATACATTTTTTAAACTTGTGGTGCATGTAGTACCCATGCTAAAAAACGCACTTATTAGATTCTGATCTATTTATTTTTGGAAACCGATCTCACCGGACAATCCTGGCGTGAACGTGCCAAGCTTGGCAGGCAGGTATTCATCGCGATTACCCAGATGAATCCTGCGGAACAGGGAGGCAGTTCTGCTGGAAGGTTCGTACTTTCTAAAGAGGACATTCCTCTATGACTGATGAAACCAACTATTGGAATTTTGTTCTGGTTTTTAGGGGAAAATACATTTTGACACACTTTAATACGAATGCAAAGCCACATTAGCATTATTTTTTTTAACCCGATCCGATTACTTTAAGATTTTGAACTCTATTTTAAAATATTTAAAAAAAATTTGAATTGATTTTTGAGACTTTTGTTTTTTTCGTTATGGCTTCAACATATCTTGAGGTTTCGTAATCGCTTTCATATTTTTTTTTAAACCCTAATTCTGATTAAATACCCAAAACTTTTCACATAAAGACGTATTTTGGCCATAACATGGTAAATAATGAAGCAAATAGGGAATGCCATGCATTCGCAACCGTTAAGCATTTAAGCCTAAACTTTTTTATTTTCGACAGTTTTTTGCAAAAAATCTTTTTCATCAGATCATCATCATCCTTTATAAAAAGGCAAAATCCACAAAAAATTTTATTGTGAGTTTAGTAAGGTTTAACATTCCTTTTTTGTTTAATGAGTGCTCTTGCCATATCCGAAATACTGTTTATTTTTGTCAAAAGCTTGAGAACAAAATTAAATTAAGTTCTGAATGAACCGAAAAGAAATAAGGATTGTTTGGTAAATTTTGTTTTAAAGCTACCTCTATAGTTCAGTGTGCAATGCAGATTTGTAGATATGTACATAAAACAGATGCAGATACAAGCTGCCATTAGACCTTCTCTTGGGTCTGCGTTTAAAGTGTTCGCACCTTTCCCACTCCTTTTCGCACTTGAACACACGTTAATGGTCCTGAGCCAGGATGCGTGTGTACAGAGGTGGCAAGGGCAGGGGGCAAGGGGCAGGGACAAGGGAAGGGGGAGGGGCAGGGTGAATTTCCCTGGTTAAGTTTGGTTAGCTGATTGTGCTGCCATTCCATCATTGCCTCTGCCGCATCCCGGGTTCCGCTTTTAATGAGTGAAATGAAGTAGGATACTTGAATGAGCCAGTTGACTGCACGTCGAGGGTTGCCCAAAAAGTTCTGATAACAAGATTGATAAGTTCAGGTATGCAGTGGATAAAGCACTTCACGAGGCAAATCCGAAATAATCTATTTATTCACTGAATAAAATATTAAATAACATTTTAATGTACATACATAATACAATATAAAACAACTTAGAAGTGTTTACTAACTAATTAAAAAAAAAATATAAGTGTCAGCATTATATGCTCAGTGAATATTGATGTATTAATATGATTAAAAAATATATCACAATTACTAATTAACAATGTTCTTGGCAAAATCTTAACTATTTTACCGCACCCCTTGATGCGCCATTTAGCGCTTGCCATTTGTCACTGCTATGCGATTGTCGGCCGTTCCTCGTGGCGTATGCGCAATTTTAGTCAAGCGGCTGGGGATATCAACACCAGAGATCATGAAAAGCATTAAGCTTGAGTAAGTTTAGATCCTATCACTGCACAAAAAGAAATGTAGTCAACTTTAGTTTATTGATCAAATAAAATAATTATAAATAAGTTAATAATTTGTCAGATCTTTAAATAATTAACTTTCTCTGCGTGCAAATAAGTTGCCAAATAATTGAGAAGCGGCCAAGCCATGGCAATATTCAATGCCAAAGTGGGTGATAAGTTGGTAAAACTTTGTCCTACACAAAAAAACGAACGAAAAAGAAATGTTCCAGGTGGTAAATGTCAAAGCAGTGGATCCTGGCAGCTGAAGGACAGCAGTGCCGTCCCGTTTGCCCATTTGTTTGTTTGTTTGCCTCCCTGTTTGTTTGTGCCATTGTCGTTTGTGAGCTGTCACACGGCGCAGAGTGCACTAAAAGTGTCGCCTTACGGCAACTGACTTGGAAAGATAATCGCGGGGGAGGGGTGCGGTGATGAGTGGGCGGTGCAACTTTTGATAAAGGTTTATCTGTGCTGCCGGTGCAGCTTACCTTTTTGGCCGGGCAACAGTTTCAGCTGACTGGCTAAGTTGGCTTCAAGTTGCCACCGACTTGACTGACTTGACTTTCATCATCATCATCATTGTGATCTGCTTCCCAACTTGAGCTTGCAAAAGGGAGGCGAACAAAAAAATACGTATCTCGGCATCTTGATGTCGCGACAACTTTCCTTTTTTCGCCCCTTTTTTCACCCGATGGCTGGCTGGCTGCTCTTCATGTTTAGCATTTAATTATTTGAAAAATGCGCAATGGCGTTTCGTGTTACCGAGGAAGCGAAGCCGAAGCCGGAAGGAAATCGGATTGGATCGGTTGTGGGCAGTGGAGTCAGTAAGCCAACAAAAATGGCGATGAATTTAGGAAGACGCAGCTGTGGAGTCGAAATTAATTAGAAATTATATACTTAAAAGCAAAGAACGAAAAAGAAGCCGTGAAAAATTGTTAACTCGAGCATTTTTTATTTATTCTACTTTAATTTCCATACTTATGGAAAACTCACGAATAGCCCACATGAAAAAGGTGTAAAAAAATTTAATAAAGGTTAAATAAAATTGAAATTTGTAAGTCGTGGGCTAACCTTCCCAAAACAAGCCACTTACAAAAACTAAAAAATCTATAGCTAAAGAGCCCCGCAGCTTAAATATGTTGCAACATGTTGCAGCTACAGTCGCATTGTTTGGCGTTTAAGTGGAAAAGTGGGAAATATATTGAAACACAGATCGGACGAAGGAGACGGACGGGCAGACAACATCATCTGACAGTTTGGCTAACATTAAAAGCGGCAAAATGTTGCGGCGCTGCCTGCCAAATGACATGATTTCTCAGTTCTGATTCGGTTGCCACTCTGCACTCTCTCCTGTCCGCATTTCTACATCTTCGCCTTTCCACATCTTCGCATTTCCACGTCTCCACATCCCCACATCAACTTCAACTGAAGAACTGAGCAAAACTTTTGCTTATCTGCGTCAGAGCCACAAAACCGAATCCCGACTCCAGCCAACCACGTCGCCACCCCTTTTTCCACCTCTCTGCACTGAGGAAAATTAGTGCATTACATCCTTTGATACCTTAAACCTATTTGTACGATCTTATTTTTATTTATTATAGATAATAATATAATAATATAGAATTATTGAAGGCTTAGATAAATGAGAAATTAATAAAATAAGTTTATTAATAAATCCTTTATTAATTAAAATAATTTGTTAGTGTGTTTATTTATTTTAAGACTTGTTTAGAAGGGTGCACTGTTCTGTTGTGGGATGCATTTTTAAAATAATATTATTTATTTGTATTAATTGTTTTGTTCAATTAATCATACTAGATTCATGAAATTAACTATTAAATATATATTAATATATTTAAGCTTACAAAAAGAAAAAATGTTTTTTTAACACTTTCTATATTCAAAGTTTCAGTCTAGGCTTTTATCTCACTGTGTTAATTCAATTGATAATACTAGATTCATGAAATAACTTATATCATATTCTTACTTAACAAGATTTAGAATAAATATTTTATATATATTTAATATAAATATGTTTTATATATTCGCATGGAACTTTCTGGCAGTGTATCTTTGCAACTACTGCAACGTCTTGAGGCAGATTTTAGCTTTTGTTGCTGCTGCTGCTGCCTTTTTTTTTCTGGTTTTTCCATGGGTGCATCAGTTTGTCTGGTCCTTGGATGGCTGGTTCTTCGCCTTGGTCTTGGTCCTGTTATTTCTACACATGCTCGCCTAGGACTCGCTCTTTGTTGCTACTTCGCTACTTGCTACTTGCTACTTGGATACTTGGCTACTGCCGCCGCCTTTGCTGCTGTTTGTGCGTGTTTCATTTTATTTGTTGGCACAAAATTGGGTTTTAGTGGATTTTGTGGCAAATGATTTTTGCTGGCTGCCGTTACGCTTGCATAAACTTTAATTTAATTTTTGCACAACGCAAAGAGCACAGAAGTTCCCTGAGCAGCTGAACAAAAAAAAAACAAAACAGACCCAAAAAAAAACAAAAATAAGAGAATGTAAGTAAAATGCCGAAAGAAACGTGTTTAATATACGGGAATCATATGAGAGTCTTTCTTTGGCTAAATCAATTAAAATTTGGTTTCAGAAGGGTTTTATCTTCCTTATTATCAACATTCCACCAACTTAAAGAATTATTATCAGAATAAAAGGTAGAAGATAATCGGCCATTAAACAACAAAAATAAATATTAAACTTTTTGAATGAATGTTAAGTACCTTCTATGTTATATACATTTTAATTGCCAACATTTTCAATTTTCAATGTTTATTCAACACAATTTACATCTAATTAGCCATGAACTTTGTTTACCGAATTCCGAAACTCACAGGTTCATGGATTTAATCCCCTGACCGATTAATACCAAGCTGTACAAATAAAAACTTTCAGATATCTCAACACTTGACTTTATCCGTAAAGTTTGCCTTCAAGTTTCGCCACTTCTCAGTTGATTTCGTTTCCCAATCGCTTTCAATCAACATGCGTATATTGAATTGAATATTTTGCGAGAAAGCCACAGGACACACTTCCATCAATTCGAATGTGTCTGCCAACATCTGTCTACAGATTCGCATATATGGTATGGTGGTGGCCACAGCCATACAAAATGGAAAGAAGTTTTTTAAGAAATGCACAAAAGTGCAATTGAGTTGAAAGACGTGCCAAAGGGCGTGCACAAGCTTGAAAAGCCATAAAAATGGCAGCTAAACGTTGGTGCTGGTGGATGGAGGTGGCAGATGCCCCGCTCAGGTGAAAAATTATAGCGTAAAATTCATATTTGATGACTTTTTGATTGCCAAACCGAAAACTGTTGCCCCGCCCTCAGTCCAACCCAACCCAACCCAACTCAACCCAAGCCAACTCAACTCAACTCAATCCTTACCAAACCGCAATCCCAACCTCAGATTGTGCCTTCAGCTCCGGATTCACACAGCCACATAATGCAGGGAAAAGTGCTTTCAATGGCGTCATTGTCAAGCGTTCTTGCCGCCATCGTCGCAATCATCATCATCATCGTTATCATCGCACATATATCCACCTGCACCTGAACTGCACTCTATATAT